AAATGTAAAATTAGTTTATGTTCAAGAGAGAGTCAAGCAAAATGCTACCTCCACTGAGCAAAGATACAAACGGACGCCATTTTGGGTGAGTCAAGTGGCTGTTTGGTGCACTAAAAACTAGTACCCTGTACAGTACTTCAATTATGTTAAATAGTTGTTAAAATGACTAAAAATTTTAATATAAGACCTGGAAAATTATTGAATAGTACAACCTTCTTGATATTTACTCAAATGGTAACGAATTTAAGCCCTAAAACCGATTACTGTATTGGTGGACTAATACCCCAGCTGGTGAGCAGGCGAAAACATGTTGACACAGTTTCGTAAGGATTTTGTTAACCAATTTTTTTTTTCGTTAACCAAGTTGAAGATTCTTATGGAAGGCAATCCGTTAACCGAAATTTCGTTAACCGAGGGATCACTGTATATGTGTGTATATATATATATATATATATATATATATATATATATATATATATATATATATATATATATATATATATATATATATATATATATATATATATATATATATATATATATATATATATATATATATATATATATATATATATATATATATATATATATATTTTCTTCATTTACAATTGAACCCGTGGAGGTCCGCGTAAAACGAGAAACGCGTAAACGAAATAACAGAACATATGGGATTAATTGAAAGAGAGACTGGGCCGACCCCCAAACTACACTTTTTCCGACACCATAGTACGTTGTAGTAAAAATAACATCTTAATTTTATGATGGTATGCACACACAATTAATATTTAAGAGAAATATCAATAATATTAGGTTTTTTAACACTTACGTTAGTAGAAAAGATGGCTGGGCACACGGGGATGGGGGGTTGGTTCCGAGGCAGAGGACAGATTATTGGCCTTCAGGTGTATCACTATCCACCACAGAGGTTAGCAGGTCCTCCGTGTCAAACCCCTCAAATTCCATATCCTCACTATCACTGACTTGGGCTGGCTGTGGCTGTGGTGGGTTGCGGGTGAAGAACTCGGTAATGTTTCATTGACGGCTAGCATTGATGTGGTCGTGATACATTTGGACATACGGCTCCATAGATTTCAACAGAAGGTTATTTGACACTTCATAGCGATGACTGACTGGGTCTTTGGCAAGGATGAGCTTGATTTTCTCAGGAAACTCGATGACCTCCTTCACATCACCATGTGTTAGTTTCTGTTCTTGTTCTTCCGTAACACCTGGCTGCTCACTGACGTCATCATCTTCCAACTCTCGTCTGCAGTCACCTCAGGTTGCCTGATTACCTCCAGGATGTCGTCGTTGGTGGTCTCGGAGAAGCCTGCAGCTCTAACACTTTGTGCAGCCTCTCGCAATGTCCAATGCCACAGCAGCAGACTGAGCTTCACCAGCCATCGCTTGACTCTGCCTCCCACCTGGGATACCCTCCAACACATGCCGCCACGCGTGACGAATCGTTGCCACAGACAGCTGCCCCCATGCCTCCACCAAGAAATCAACGGCTTTCTTGACGTTGAACAGTTTCCAGAACTGCTTGACTCGCACTTCATGGTCCGCCAAATCTTGTTCTGGATCCTCATCCTCGCTCTCCCTATCGGTGCCACTCAGAAGGTTCTGCAATTCATCCTTGGTGTTGGTGAAGTCGTTCAGGAGCCGAAACTTCTCTGTGGAGAAAACAGCCTTGACGTTGCATATCAACTCCTGATCCATGGGCTGGATTAACGACGTAGTGTTAGAGGGAAGGAAGACCACTTTTACATTGGGGTGACGATCCAGCAATAGAGGCGAGTGTCCTGGTGCGTTGTCAAGGAGCAACAAAATGTTGAATGGAACATTATGTTGCTCGCAGAATTTCTTCATATCAGGAACGAAACAGTTGTCAAACTAGGAGAGGGACAGACCAGTGAACATCCACGCCTTCCCTGAGGTTAGCCAATTGACATTTAACTTGCTCATGTCCATATTTTTGTAGGCATGCTGCTTGCGGGCTTTGTGGATCACAGACAACTTCAGCTTACAAGTGCCGGAGGCATTGGTGGTGAACAGGACGGTGATGCGCTTCTTCTGCAACTTAAGGCCCCGACACTTGCTCGCAGACTTGACTACGAAGGTCTTGGATGGCAATTTCTTCCAAAACAACGCGGATTCATCCATGTTGAACACTTGGTCGTTGGTGTACTGTCCTTCCTCCATAATTTCTCGTAAGAATGGGGGAAAATTCATGGCGACAGCCCGGTCAGCACTTGCTCCTTCACAAACAATTTCAACGTTCGTGATCTAATTACAACGTTTGAAACCTTGCAGCCACCCAGCGGAATCAGTGAAGGGTTTGGGCTCTGCAACTCCCATTTTTCTCGCCACTGATAGGTACAGTTCTCTCGCGTAGTCCTGCACTGCCTGAGTGTCGACCGCCATGTTCTTTCTTGACTGACGAATCAAGTACCTGACCAATAAACCTTCAGTCTTGAGCAGCACCTTATTGTGGCAATATTTCACCATCGACGCACCTGCAGACTTTGTGATGCTCATGTGGTCTTTGATCTTGCCGGCATCCTTCTTGATGGTGCGGATCGTCGATTCATTAACTCCATATTGTCAGGCGAGATCCACCTGTCTTGTGCCTTTCTCTAACTCCTGGACGATTTTGTACTTCACTTCATAGCTTAAAGCGCGTTGTACCTTCTTGGGCTTTGGGCGGCTTGGGCCAGGTAGTTCAAGGTTTCTCTGGGGTGTTGGGGGTCCAGCGGAAGCCATTGTTGAGCAGATTAGCGGGCCCGAGGGAGCACTGTATACACAGAGACGGAGGACAATGGGACTAACGCTTCCAAGGTCAGCGACTTATTCCCTCTGGTGGCAGGGCACGCCAAGTTAAATTAGACCAATCACAGCTATCGGCGGAGCGGATGCGTGGCCCAATCACAGTCCGAAACGTCATCTGACGTCAGCAGTGACGTAAGAGTGACCTAGCATTTGTTCGTTATAGGATTAATCCGTTCTAGGCCCCCAAATACAACCACTTAACAATGAAAAATATAATATAAAATTGTAAAAATTGTAAAAAAGTGTATAAATGTGCATTTAAACTCTTGAAATAAAGAATATCATTAATACTTGTAATAAAAAATAATAAATTAGTACAAAAAATAATAAAAAATACTGTTCGTTGTAGGAGTTTCGTTCGTTATAGCATTCTCAATTTTATAGGTAAAACCGTTCATTATAGGAATATTCGTAGTAGAATCCGTTCGTTATAGCATACCCCAGTGTACAGTATATATATATATATATATATATATATATATATATATATATATATATATATATATATATATATATATATATATATATATATATATATATATATATATATATATATATATATATATATATATATATATACATACATACATACATACATACATATACATACATACATACATACATACATTACTTACGACCGTCGGGACTTACGACCGCCGCAGTTGTGACCTTTTTTTTTTTTTTTTTCAAATGACACGCATTTTCTATACCGAAACGTTTCCAGTTAATGTAGTCTCCATGTATAATTAGAAAATTATGGGGGCCCCATGTGCATTCAGCTGACTACATTAAAGGTAAGTGCTCAGTCACACTGTATCCATTCCTCATTATTTATTACTTTTACTGTACTATATTTCATTGTAGATTTTTTATTTAAAAAAAAAATTTAATTCTTTTTTTTTATCTATGTCGGACTTACGACCTGGATTTGGGTCCCTAACCCCGTCGTAAGTCGGGGAACACCTGTATATAATTTTACTATTATTATTATTTGGGGGGGGGGGCGGGTCAGTCTGTACGTATGATTTTGTGTGCATGTAAATTAGTAAATAAAAAATTAAGAAAACTACTTGTATCTACAGTGCCAGAAATTATGAGTTGAAAATACTTAATACATTATGATAATTGTTTCTTTTATTTATTTATTTAGTTAGTTATTTATTTGCTTTTTCTGTATGTAGGATTATGTGTGCATGTAACCAAGTAAAATAATAAAATCAAGAAAACTATGTGTATCTACCTGAAATAACACATTGAAAAATAAAAGCGTAACATAATACAGTACAGGTAGTTCTGCTATAACGCGATAATTGTGTTCTTGTAAAATATTGTGTTATAGAAAATCGCGTAATAGAAATAACAGGGCTTATGGAGAAAATAGGGTTAGGTGCAGTTTACTCGAAATCGAAAAAATTTAGTAGTTAGCCTAACACAAAGGATAGCACAGTCTAAATAAATGTTACATTCATATCTAATAATGAAATCATACAGTAAATTTAACACTTTACCTTGAAAAAATATGAATGTAACTTGATGGGGGAGAAGGGTGATTTTGAGGTTGATAACATCAAGCTTCTCTTCAAGTGTTATATCCTTTCTTTTACGATAATCACCGGGAATTCTATCATCAGAATGCTTTTTGGAGATATTCTTCTTTACCATATTCACAGTTAATACCACAAAATTGGAGAAATAGTAAGCAAAAATCGCGTTATAGCAAACAAGCGATCGCGTTATACAAATATTGTTCCGAATTCATAAATCGCGTTAGAGCAAATTCGCGTTATCAAAACACGCGTTATAGCAGAACTCACTGTACTTTACATAGCTCATAGGTAGGGAGTGATTTAATGTTTCCCGCTTGGCCCAGGAATTGCTTGGTGCTCATTTTAAATATTTTGTGCCAGAACATAGCTGGTTTTTGGAGTGTTCTGGACACTGGGACACCAGATATGTGGTCCTGTACCTGTACATAAATGTAAATCTTTGATAGGAGTCATGGTCGTAAAGTGTATAACTTAAGCCATTAATATGAGACATGATTATCATTCATGGTTGCTAACTAAGGTAACTGTTTGAATAATAAGTTACTCTTGTGTCTATAAACTTACATGACAGTGCAAAAGACTTATTTTTTCTCACTTTTCCCCCTGGATGTTTCTCCCCCACAGAGGTGCCCAATTCTGGTAACGGTCCCAGACTCCGCCCTCCACCTCGCACGAAAGAAATCGTTGTAAATGGCGTAACCGTGAAGCTTAAATACTGTTTTACCTGCAAAATATTCAGACCACCTAGAGCGTCTCATTGTTCAATCTGCGATAATTGTGTTGGTAAGTAGAGAATCCCTTCACGACCAATTGAGGGCCAGGTGTTGGATTCACTTGTGTATAGTCACTCAAAAAACTATCTGTACTCAGGGGTGGGGATAAATTTTAGAATGAACACTGCGACTCTTATTGTCTAGGTAGGGTTGTCAGAATCCTTCGTCTATTGTGTCATATTGTCTTACAATTTGGAAAGATAGTTTTTTGAGCGACTGTACCTACAGTGTCCTTGGTGGTATGCTGATGTGTATTTTGTGTCAGGAACTGGAGTCATCAATAACAGTAGTTGGCTTTCTTTGCCTTTGAACATACTTGTGGGATTACTATAGAATCTATTATGGATAAAGGTTGGTCGGTAGTGTGTGTGAGCTTGCTTTTATTGTCGCTGATGAATCTTTAGGTGGAGGACAATGTGGACTGTCTTAAATTACCTGTGTTAACACTTAGGGTATTTATAATTAAACTATATTTAGTTACAGTTATATCTTGTATTCACTTAAATCTGGCTGATATCATAAAAAGTACTCCACTTCACCCCAAACCCCTAACAGATAACATTTATGGAGACTCCAGCATCAATTCTGCCACATACAGTATTACAGATCCACTGGTGGCAGACACACAGAATAATGGCTTTGGTTGTGTTCGGATTGTATGACTAAATTTGAATTTTTACTGAATGGGACTAGAATGGACAAAGTTTGGATACCTGGAAGACTCAAATAGTTGGAATTCAGATAAAGGGAATTGTACTTTAACAATTTTTCCATGTTTATGTTTACTGTAGGACTTAAATAATTATATAAGTATAGGCAGACTAAATTAGAATGTAAGATTCTTTTCTTGTAGAATATACTAAAATATGCTACTCTCTTCTTACAGAACGATTTGATCACCATTGTCCGTGGGTTGGAAACTGTGTTGGCAGGAGAAACTACAGATATTTTTACCTTTTCATCATATCTCTTGCCTTTCTCTGCGTATTCATCTTCTCTTGTGTTATTGCACATCTTGTCATATGTAAGTATTACCTGGACAGAGATCTTTGCTGCCTAATGCTAATTTAAGTTGAAGATATGAAAGAACATGTGTGTGGAATATTTCTTTGTTGTTTCAGCTCATTTCTGTTACTTTTTACACGTCTTGCGCCTCCCTCATTATACTTTCTGATTTTCTCTAGCTGTCTGCACCCACAAAAAATTGTGAGAAGAATACGGTATGGTACGATAAATAGAGTATTGTACTAGCTCCTCTCTGACCATTCTTTTATTTACCATTGGAAGTTTGTACTCAAGATTATGAGAAAAAGAATTAGTAACAATGAAAATATTTAAAACTAGAGCAATAAAGAAAAGGCAACTTTAAAGTTGGGCAATACACGTGCTAATTAGTGTGCACTCTCCTGCTGAACGGGACAGTATTGCAATACCATATTTTCCGCATGTTGTGCAAAGTGAGCTATAGCTAGAGATGGATCTCTTTATAGCGCGGTTTGTTTTTAGATATAAAAGATTGCGGCGGCCACAAGCGCCTACTTGTGTTCGTTTTGTAAATTGCTTTTTTTTTCCATGTGATTATGTCATAGATTGAGGCAATTTCCGAAGAAACCTAACTAACTAATTGTGGGTGTTGGTACCTGACCAAAAATACCACGATGTTGGTGGTGGTACAGCGGTAACATTCATTATCTCTCACCACTGTCATTATTATCATGGGTACGAGTCCTGCTTGGCCCAGACACACTTGTGACTCTTCCAATCATTATAGGTTTCCTCCTGTAATATCACTTGACAAATAAGTTTATAGCAATGTAACAAAGAACAGGCCAACTGTCCAAGTGGCGAATAAGTTGATAAGTGGTGAAATGCAGTAAAAAAAAAATTACCAATCAGTGGGGGGAAACAAAACACCAGCAGCTATTTAACAAGTTATATTCAGCTTCAGCCTTCTTGTTTATTTATGTTGACCTGAGATCAGCTGATCACCCATTCTGTTCACCTAGCCGACCGTGCATTATGTAGCATGCAGTATTGCCTAATTGACCACAGCACAGATATGTTGGATAGAGGACCTTGTCACAGTTCCCAAGATCTTTGGCAATGTTGATGGCCTCACACCGGGGGTTCTGCCTGTGATCACGTGTTTTATCTGGGCAAACTCCTGATGAGAGTGCTCAGGTAGTGGTAAATCATCATCCCTGTGACACATCACGGAGGGAACATTTCTTGGAAGTTTAGGTGCATCCTGGGCAAGGTATGAAAACTGTGTCAAGTTCCCCAACTATAGGGAACTTGTCATTACTGTACAGTATATGAAAATCACCTTGTAAACAAAATTTCTTAAGGGGTTTATTCAAACTGCCCAAACTAGTCCAAACCACCAGCCTGTGGGTTGAGGAGACATAATAAAAAAAGTTACCAGCATGTTATGTAAATCTGCCTGGTTCATTGTGTTACTGAGAGAGAGTTCTACGTGTGATGGTAAAGGGATTTGTTTCTAATCTCATTAGGAATCGAGCTATACTGTACTTATTGATCCACCTGTCACCGGATGATCCACCTACCCTCGTGCATATACTGTACTGTATGATTGCACATGAGCCCAGTCCCACAGTGAATTACAATCAGTATCCATTGTGAGTGAATGGTGACCTATGGCCAGTTTAGCATTCAGCTTCAAGGTTTGTTTATCAAAGCCAGAATATATTACATCAATGAAGGAAAATACCAAATGCTTGTCATACTGTTGTGTTGCCTTTATTAAAAATCCAAATAAATAAATTATATTGTTTTGGTTAATTTTTTATCATAATTTTTTCTTCATTTTCTCCATTAGTCTGATTTGACAATTCAGTAATTATACTATACACTCTGTTATGGCTGATGTTCATGAATTTATTCTGCTTCTTATTTCTCCTCTGTTTCTGTTTTTTTCTTTTCTTTTTCTTTTGCTTCTTTTCTCTCTTTTCCCAACTTCTTCTCTTCCTCTTTATTCTTTTCTCCCATATTTCTCTTTTTCCCTTTTCTTTCTACTTTTTTATTTTTTCCTTTATATTCTGTTTTTTCTTCTTGTTTCTCTTGTTTTCTTCTTTGTTTTGCCTTGCTTCTTTTTTCTTTTTCTCCCTTTCTCCCTCCTTTTTTCATCTTCAATTTTGATAGTTCATGAGTACAGCCGAAGTTTTTAAAATATAAACGTACACCTAACCTACTTTTTTTTCCATCTGCAGTCATGAATAAGGAGAATGAAACTTTCATGGTAGCTGTGCAGAAGAATCCTGCTTCAGTCGTAGAAGGCGTCATATGCTTTTTCTCTGTGTGGTCAATCCTGGGACTAGCAGGATTCCACACCTACCTCACAACATCAAATCAAACAACAAACGAAGATGTGAGTTGTGTGTTGTGCACTACCCCTCAGTAAACACCTGAGGGAGATATATGAAGAGTATACAGTACTCCATGCTTAGATATTTTTCCTTGGGTTTGGAGATTGCTTGAATGGGAAGGTAAAACAGGAATTGAATACAGTATAATAGTGATTTGTAGGAGTGTGTGAATATGTTATCACATATAGTCTCTCCTTGACTTACAACGGGTTCCGTCTCGATGACCAGGTCGTAAGTCGAAAAAGCGAAAAATAATACATAAAAATTCTAAAATGAAATACAGTACAGTAAAAGTTATCAATAATGAAAAATGAATAAAGTGTCACTGTGAACTTACCTTTAATGTAGTCAGGTGAATGCACACAGGGCCTCAATAACTTTTTAATTAAGCATGTAGACTACATTAATTGGATGAAGCAGAGGATTGATTTTTTTATTTTGCCGCTTACAGCGGCTAGTTTATCGTGCACTCCACACTCATCCTATGAGTGGTAGCGCAAAAGGATTACAGAGTAGAGTTTACAACGGGTCATAATAATTAACCCCCGTGGTCAGGATATTACGGCACTGAATGTTACACAGTATTTCATTTACATTATTTGTTTAGTTCTATACATAAAGGGTAACTTATTCACAACTACGTGAGTACAGGCGTGTGAGGCAGTATGCCTGGTCGCACACTTTGTTATTCACATTTGCGTGAGAAGTATTCAAGCACATTGTGTATTTGGTTCTGTACATGAGAACTGATATAGTTACTAAGTGCAAAAAAGTGGATACAATCTTAATATGTCGATTTTCTTGCCATTAGAGATGAAGTGCTGTGCCATTTCACACACAGTGTGCTTGGACCTGTCTCTAAAAGGTTCTATCTTCACACAGTCGAGGACGTAGTGTTCAAGTGTGTCCCCATATGTCTGGCCACACACTTTACATTTAGTCTTGTTTACATCTGCTTGAGGAACATAATGCCAGAGGTACTTATATCCTAATCTTAATCTAGCGGTTACAACATCTTGTAATCTAGTGATCTTGTTACTTGCTCCATATACATGTTTCACTTGATACATCTCATCATGGTAAACTATGGATCGACTAGTCCCTGTTTGCACTTGTCTACTTGCGTCAAATTCATCAATAAGTTCTTTCCTAATTACAGTTGTAAGGGTTCTTTTTGACAGCCCCAGATTGTATTCAACAGTGTCTTTGTTAGACTCGAGTTTGGCGAGAGCATCAACTCTGTCATGTTTTATGAGGCCTATGTGAGAGGGGATCCACAACAGTTTGACCTTGACACCCCGGTCAACAAGGAACGCATATTTGTGTCTGGCTTCAGAGACAAGCGCGTGACAACTTGAGTGTCAAGGGCAATTAGTGAGGATAGAGAGTCAGTGATGATGAGACTGTCAGTGACAGTGGTTTCAATAAATTTAATAGCTGTGAGTATGGCAACTAATTCAGTTTGTAAAGTGGATGCCCAGTTGTTAATTCTAACATCTTTCTCAATTCTATTACCGTCAGGTTGAGTCACAACAATAGCACTTCAGCCCTTCCACAGGCGGTGTTAAGAGATCCATCAGTGTAGATGGTCTGTGTGATATTATCATCAGTCTGTAGCGTGTGTATGTGTTCAAGAGCTCTCACTTTGGCAGTGTGTTGGAGATAAATACAGTACTTTGTATAATTAATTTTTTGGGGGCGGATATGTTGCCATTGTGATATTGAAGGGAACTGTCCGCCAGGGTGGCAGGAAGCTCTGTTGTGTCTCAACTTTGTACAGATGGTCTAGTCCAAACATCTTCATATGTGTAGCTGTAGTTTGGATCTATTTAGATTCACCAGTCCCATGGTTCATGCATTCTAACAATTTTAAGTAAACAATGTTATCAGGATCACCACGCAGAAGCCTCAGGGCTATCATGAGGTTGCTTCAATTATTCTATTTTTGACACTGGGTATACCTAGTTCTTTCCTCATATTAAGTACTTTAGTGCTCATGGGACATCCTAGGATAATTCTGAGGGCTTTATTTTGCATTTTCTCGAGCTTGTCAACGCCTTTCCTGTCACAAAGGACCAGGGCTGGTGCGTGGTAATCTATCAGAGATCTTATATAGCTTAGGTACATTGTTTTAACAATTCTAATATTAGCTCCATAGTGCGGGCTGTACCCCGCTACACTTCTAAGAGGTCTCAGTCTGCCAGTACATTAGCGGGTTAACTGTTGTATGGCAGGTAGGGTACAAGGGACGGAAACACCAAGATATTTAAAAGAAGAAACATAGTCAATAGTGTTGTTACCTATCTTAAACTTGGCGGGGCCGTGTTTGCGGTTGCCAGCTTGTTTGTTGAACACCTTAGTTTTCTCAGTGGAGATAATAAGACCGAGGTTCTCACAGGCTGTGTATACATGGTTCAGGGTGGTTTGCATTTCACGATGAGTTTTAGTGTGTACAGCATAGCTGATTGTGATATTGCTTCGGCTGTTTGGTATTAAATTTAATAATGCATTCATAAGAACATTGAACAAAGTGGGGCTAAGTACTCCACCTTGAGGAGTACCAAGTTGCATATCTGTAACTTCACTTTTGTAACCTTGAAACAGTGCAGCAGCCCTTCTGTTGGTTAGGTAACCACTTATCCAGTGTAACAGCCTACCTCCTATATCCATTTTGGCTAGTTTGTACAATTTCAGTTGTCTATTGGCAATATCAAATGCAGCTTTTAGGTCAAGAAATGTGGTGTATCTGTGCCTTTCATCACCATGCACAGTTTGGAATGTGGTGATGCAATTATGTACACCTTTACCATGGGTGAAGCCATTTATGTTAGGAGACATGTGTTCTCTGATTCTGTATAAGAGTCTGCCAAGAACCATCCTCTCAAAGGTTTTACACAGGCAGTTGGTTAGTGATATGGGAGGAAAAGCATCAGGCTGTCCTGGTTTCGGTATTGGTACAACAACACTGCTGGTCCATGATGTGGGTAGTTGGCCCTTGGCATGACTCATATTGTACAATACCAACAATGGATTGCCCGGCACACACCTTAGTACTCTAACGATGTTGTAAGTGACTCCGTCCTCTTCAGGGGAAGTAGACCTACCCCTGGCGAGGGCGGCGTCAAGCTCCCACTCATTACAGTATATGGAACATAACACTCCTCGTGCTGTTTGCCCAGCATAAAGTTAATAAGATTACTTCTCTCCACAGACTTCGCATCAAGGAGTCCATGAGCCCTAGCTGGTAACATGTCATAGCTAGACACATGAGCCCACTTTGTTATTAGCTCATTCGACTTTTGCAGCGGGTTTGGATGGGAGACGTGTCTACTGTTTTTACCTCTGATTGTGTTTATGTCTTTCCAGGCTTTGCTGAGGGATGTGTGTTGGTTCTGGCTGTTGACATATGTCTCCCATGTATTATGTCTGAGTTCGTTTACACGTTCCCTGGTAGCAGCAAGGAAGGCTTGATACAATTGTAACATTTGAGGTGTTCTAATTTATTTGTAACCCTTACCCACCCTCCTGACTCTAGCCCTGAGTTTTTTCAGTTTAGGATCATCATAGCACTGCTGTTGCCTGTTCCCATGATGCTGACCACATTTTCTCCTTTTTTTCGTGGAGGCATTGTTGGTGAAGTATGTATAAGTCCTATCTATCAGATCGTCATGGAAACTTTGGTAGTTGTCAGGATTGTAGGCCTTGTACCAGTCATGGATGACGTCTATGAACTGGCTTTCATGTTCTTGCTTGACTGTGATTCTATGTCTGTTGAGTTTACCACCAGTGGGGTGTCATTGGCTACATGTATACTAGCTTGGATTGGGCTGTGGTCAGACATAAGATCAGTGACAACATCAGAGCTATGAGTTGTGTATGATAGATTAAAGCCAATACACTTGTCTAGACCCCCGCCACAGATGTGTGTTGGTTCATTATTACCTATAATTTGAACATCTTCATATGCGCTGAGAAGTGAGATAAGTCTCCTACCATTGATGTTAGTGGTGGAGTCACCTAATTTCTTGTGTCTAGTATTCAGGTCACCCATCAGGACAGTGGGCTCAGTGTGTAAAAAGTCTGGGAGATCTGTGTACTGAAGCTGATCTGAGGGAGCATAGGCGTTTAGCACGTTGAGTGTAGAGTTGCCCAGGTGGATAGTGATCCTATGGTACTGAAGGTTGGTAGACTTTTTGGATACAAGAGGTACATGTGGGAGTGACTTCTTAACATACATCAAACAGGGTCGACTTACGACCACTTCGACTTCCGACCATTTCGACTTATGACCTGGATTTGGGTCCCTAACCCCGTCGTAAGTCAGGGAGGAGCTGTATATATATATATATTCACAGACTGCTTCACTCGTCTTCTGTTAAATGATGGATTTATTTCATAAATGGGAAAAAGACTGTGATTGTGAACTGAAAATATCTTAAGGTGGACGTGACGATAATTGATTCACTATCTGTGCTAATACAATATTAACATTACTTTTGGGTAAGGGAGGGTATAAATTTTGGTGGGTTGGCCTGTAGAAAAATGCTTAAATCTTCATGCAGCCCACGACAGGAAAGGTTGTCCATGCTTGCTTCAATGAATTAATTCCAGTGGTGATAAAACTGAATAATTTGTATTTTCTTGTTTTATTACCAATTAGCAACTACAAATATTTATCATCTGACAGATTAAAGGTTCATTCACTGCACGCCGAGGGCAGACAAACTTTAACCCATATGGTTATGGTAACTTCTGTCTTAACTGCTTAGCAGTTTTATGTGGCCCAGTCCAACCCAGCCTTATAGGTGAGAACTACTTAGTAACCAGTGTTACATTAATGTTATCTAATTTTCTGATTTTTTTGCTGATAATGTGTAAATGACATGTTATGAATCTTATCAATAATTGATCTGGTTATTAAACTCCAGTTTGTTATCACTGCACTTGATTGAAAAACTATGTTGCTTGCAGATCGTCGGGGTGTTGTAACACTGGAGTACCTGACAAGTACACAAGGTAAAGTGGCTGAAAGTCAGGTACTTTCCAGAAGTTATGGCACGGTCTACACAGCCCAGCCTACAGTAAGTTTGAAAATCTCATTGAGTGATGGTACTGCATCACATTGTGGGTTCATCTTCCACTTAAACCTTGCTTGTCCTCCATTGTCTCAGTACTTGGTTCTAATTAGCATTGTCCATTTGTTTTAGTATTTCAAAAAAATTTAAATTTTGTCTTTAATATTTAATTCAGTGACTTAAACAGGGTAGCCAGTCACTCGGAGATCAGGGAGGTCTGGGTAATTATTTTTACCAGACACATTCAGGGTATTAACTTTCACTTGTTAAAGGTTTAGGAATTTTGTTAACAATTCTAAAATCAGGGAAAAGTCCAGGACAAATAAAGTAGTCATTGCAACAAAAAAAGTTAGATTGACATTCAACTGAAAACAAAAGAATGAACTCTGTAAATGTTGAGTCACCCAAAGTTAAAATGAACCATTCTTGATGTCACTGCTGGCATATAAAGTGTACATAAACAGTACTATATGGTAAACCCTTGATGACTCGTGATTCAATATAACTCAGAATGGCAGTAAAATATTAAATTCAATTATTGTTTAATTATTTTTTTACATAAAATACATTTTTTTACATAACTCGCAATATTCCAAGACATGATGGCGTAATCTCGGAGTGGCAGGATGCGTGGGAGGCTCTACCCCCCTCTCCACTCTCCCTCCCCCACTCATTGTGAGAATTCTGGTGCACATAAGAAATGTTTATTTCCTTTATATTTTTGACCTTATAATAATATTTTTTAACAACCTTGAATTATCTTCATCCTTCACCTGCAGTGTTGGTAATCATTAATTTTTTTGCAAGTTTTCTGATTATGGTCGGTTATTTTGGCCAAAAATTTGGTTGTTGGGATGGGACAAAAGACCGGAAGGAAAGTGCTTTAGTAATTTGGGAAATTTGGTAATGCAAAATGGTTAGAACCCTATATATTATAAAGGGTTTACTGTATGTTTCTGCATAATACAAATTGCTGTATATTTCAAGCCTAAAACAATATTTTTTTGTTACATAGTAATACTGGCACTGTAAATACAGGGGTTACATATACTGTATAGCATTGAGTAGGAAGGACAAGACTTAGTGCTGTATGTACAGAGTTAAGTTGGGGAAACTTGTATGAAGTGAAAAAAAAATCAGGGAAAAAGAAAGCAAGATATAAGTGGCCACAATGTAAACTTAGTATTCCTTCAATAACCTTGGGTTGAGGAGGACACAGTAATACAGGAATACCTCGCTAGTCATGGTTTTTATATCGTAGTGGTCTAAGTGTGAATTTATTATATAAAGATTATAATATATTGTGTTTTTTACATTTCTTACCATAGAGTTCGATACCTTCACACGGGTTACTTACAGGAGATTATGGTGTATCTATGTAGAAATTCACTCCATCACCCGACATTCCATGATTTATACTTGATAAATGATGATTTAATGAGTTCCATTAATTTCCAACATCCATCATTACCTTTAGTAATAATAAGATAGGATCACAGATACGGGCAGAAAATTGCACATACATTTATTTGTCAAGCTTCCATACAATGATTTACAATTTGCATGGATATATGAGTCACTCACGTTCATGCTGTAATAAAATTAATCTTCTAAAAGAGGGAATTTTCAACTTGGGGACACGATTACTATACTAGGGGTATACATAATTTTACTTCATTTATTTATTTATTTATTTTTATATATATATTTTTTTATATTGTTACAATATGCACACATAATTTTTCTTACCGAATGTGCCTAAAAAATTATATGATTATCAAAAGGTCAAACACACACACAGAATAAACATGTCATACATGCATGGGGATCTCAGCTGCTTCAGTCTCCCGTGTCCTGCGGGTAATGACACTATGTACTGTTTTATCAATTGGCAATGTGGTATGTTTTCTTTTATTTTATATATTATCATGAATTTTATTTATTCCTCACATTCAATGGTACAGTACTGCGGTATACATGCTACCTTGGTCCCGAATAACCTCAGATAATGGGGGGTGTACAGTATAGTCTGGAATTTACGCGGCACCTGTCAGCAGAGATAATTATTATTTACACGGTAAATTCCATCATGTATGCGGCAAGCAGCAGGGCGAAGTGCTGGGCGCTGACATCAGACTCGCGCCTGTGATGTCGCAGACTGTGATTGGGCCACGTATCCTTCCCACCCACGCATCCCCTCCGCCGCATGCTGTGATTGGTTTAGGCATCCTTGCCACCCACGCTCTCCACCGCCATGTCAGTCTCACTGTCTCTGCGTATATTCACTCGTGCCCAGGAACCAGTGCTTTTTTTTTTCTTTCAACACAATGCCTTCCACTGGACCCCCACCACCCCCTAGAGGCCCTGTAGGTGCCTCGGTGGTGAAATAATGCCACAATAAGGTGCTGCTGAAGACCGAGAGTACAGTATTGTGTCGGCGATGGCCAAAAAAAGGTGAGTTTGGCGGTCGGCCCGGTCTCTATTTCAATTAATCCCATAGGTTCTGTTATTTTATTTACGCGTTTTGCTTTATACACGGACCTCCATGGGTTTAATTAACCGTGTAAAACCTGACTATACCGTATATTGAAAAATATGTGATGAAAGTTGCCCCAATATTCACAAAATTTTTTTGCACCGATTTTTAGAAATTCATCCTATGGGATAACCGGGGTATTCCTGCACATACAGTATATTTACTTAGGATTTTATTGAAAAAAAAAGTTATCCAGAAAATGGCAGCACTATCATTTTTAATCTCATTCCAGCAACTCAAAGGACATTAGTGCTGTAATATGAAAATTTTAATATTTTCACTGATTTGGGAAGTTAATCCTGTACAGGGCTATAACTGGTAAAAATTGACAAACAAAGATTATGCAGTATGCACATCTTTAATCTGTGACCATCATACATTTTGTAATTCTGTTGAAAACTGAATGATTACTTAACATCACAAGTTATCTGCATGGGCACATGTGCCAGGCAACAGCAAGGAATAAAAGTACCTGTAATTGTTGGTGCTCAGTTAATGTACTTATTCATCCTTGCCACAGTAATAGAAACAAATCATGACTCAAATTTGTTTTTTTGGTATCTTTTACTAGAGAAGATAAGAGCATTGTCATAAATGTTTAGGTGAGGTTTTGTTGCAGTCGGTGGTTATTAATGGTACAACCTTTTCTAAACTTGGGATATTACATGAGAACTGATCTCAAATTTTAAAGAGAATCTGTGTACAGTACTGTATACAGTATGTGTATAATATTATTTTCAGAATGGCATGGTGCCTCAACGAGCTGGCTCAGAGGCTCCAGTGGGCACACAGGCCAGTGGTGGTGTGGGAGGCACTAGTGGCACCAGCACTGGCACTATGGAGGCTGGAGTGGCTGGCTCATTAAAAAAGAAATCCTCATCAACTCAGTCGATAAATGGTATGTACTTTGCTCAGCCTTTGTTAACTGCTGTTATTATTATATCAGCAATAGTTGTGTAATAATTCAAGTAAAGATGTTTGAGATAAGTTCTGTAAATCTGTGTGAAGATTAGCAATGCTTATACAGTGAATACTGTTATAAGCACAAAAAAGAATCTGTTATTTATGATTTGTCTTGAAATGTGAAGCCAAGTGAAGAAATTTTTTTGTGATCTAGAATTCTTGTTTAACACACACACAGGAGTATTGGATCAGATGGACCTTTCTTTTAAAATTTGTAAAAAGTTTTTAATGAGTGACTTTTGTTGCTTAGCATTCTATTAGGTGTTGTATTTTAAAGTGTGGTTGACAGAAATGAGTCATTCATATTCCAAGTAATGCACTTCAGTTTATCCTAAGGGAATCCTGAGAGATTTCCTGCATTTGGTCTCATATTTAATGGTCCTCCAAGAAAAAAAAAATGCAAATCCTAAACATTACTAATTTTTATTACACCCATAATTAGTTTTGAAACTGGCATTAAGAAAATCTTATTTTCTATTCAATTTTTTCTGAACACTTATTTTAATTTTTTTATTTACCGGTACGCATTTATATATTTTTTATTGTACTACTGTATATGTTATTCTTGATTACATTGACATTGGTGAAGATTTAAAAAAGAAGTTGGATATAAAAAAGAGAAGTGTGTTTATGGGGATGTATATGAGTTTGGAATAGAAGGTTGTTACCTTGGAGGAGGGTGTTTTAAGAGTTTTGCATCAAATTTAGGTACAGAAAGATTGAATGGATCAAGATCCATGGAAGTGGTGTAGAAAGAGTTTGCAAGAGTTGGGGTGCAGGGAGATTAAAACGATTAGAATACTGTACTGTCCTTGGAGATTGAATGGATGGGGATGCACTGAAGTTGAGAGAATTACATTGCACTCTGCTGGCTTGTGGGATGTCTTATTTAACATATACACTTAGAGAAGGTGAAATGTGTGGGAGTTCAGGCTTGTCTAACAGGGCTAAGGGTGTGATTAAAGAAGTGGAGTGGGTAAAGAGAGTTGCTCTGACATAGTATGGACATGTTTGTAGGATGCCAGGGGGTTGGATGGTAAATAGGGTGTATAGAAGTAATGTAGTTGCCTTGGGCATGTCGAGTAGAGGAACAGGTTACATCTTGTGGGGGTATGGAGCTGTACCTTAATCCTTAAACAGAAGCCATCATCAGTGGAATTTAACGGTAAAGATGACGGTCATCATCAGTGGAAGTTAACTGTTGGGACGGCACCTATCATCGGTGGATGTTTCATGTGCCTTCTGCTTTGTGTTTCATTTTTGTGCATGTAGGGGTGGAGTAGGGAATCCTTAGCCACTGGTTAAGGAGAGAGCAGGAGGAGCTCTGAGATACAGAAGAGGTAAACATTGTATGTACTGTAGTGATTGGGCAGCTTGGAGACTTTCATCTTGTTGCCAACCCCCCAGAGAGGAGCTCCCAAGGAAATGATGCAGCAAAATTAAATTAAAGATAGGTACCTGTAGATATCCAGATGATATGTTGTACCTAGTAAAATTGTCTTAGGATAACTTAAGAGAGAATTAGCTTTTGTAGTTGAGTGGTGGAAAACAGAGTGATAGGCATAAGGAGTTTAGAGGTACAGGTATCCCTCGAGATACAAAAATTCGCTTATTTGAATTTCGTAAATTGGCACCATTCTTTGGTGTTCCGAAAGCTTTTCCCACTTAGGCGATTTTGGGTCCTCCTGGCAAAAATTCAAATCGCACGCCCCAGGAGTCAGCTGGGGTGTCCACATCTGATCCCTAGCACTCTTCCTACCAGGCTGAGGTAGGAGTTATTTTATGATTATTTATCAACTCGTAATTTCAGGTGTACAAACATAACTTTCTTTTATTATTATTTTTTCATTCAGTTACAAGCACAAACAATCCTACATACAGAATGGGCAAAAAAATAAAAAAAATAAATAAATACAGTCAACCCTCGCTTTACGCGGTCCCACTTTACACGTTTCCACGTTTACGCGGTCCCACTTTACACGTTTCCACGTTTACGCGGTACCCTGCCGAAACCGGAATGCTCACTTTCCGCGGTGTGTGTACCCTTTTACGCGGAGAGCGGCGCGAGCAGGGTGCGCACAATGTCGCCCAGTCATCAAAACATTACCGAGTTCTTCACCCGCAACCCACCACAGTCGGCCCAAGTCAGTGATAGTGATAATGATAGTGAGGATATGGACTTATATGGACTTTGAGGGGTTTGACAAAGAGGCCCTGCAAGCCTCTGTGGTGGATAGTGATACAATTGATACAAGTGATACAGGTGAGGGCCAATAATCTGCCCTCTGCCTCGGAACCAACCCCCATCCCCGTGTGCCCAGCCATCTTTTCTACTAATGTAAGTGTTAAAAAACCTAATATTATTGATATTTCTCTTAATTATTAATTGTGTGTGCATACCATCATAAAATTAAGAAGTTATTTTTACTACAACGTAGGTATTGTGTCTGAAAAAGTGGAGTTTGGGGGTCGGCCCGGTCTCTATTTCAATTAATCCCATATGTAATGTTGTTCACTTTACGCGTTTCTCACTTTACGCGGGCCGCCGTGGGTTCAATTGACTGCGTAAAGTGAGGGTTCACTGTAATTATCATACGGTAAACAATATAAAGGAAATAAATATATCTTCATGCACCAGCGAGACTTAGCTGGATGAGTGGGGGAAAGTTATGTTATGATTATTTTTAAACTCATAGTTTGGGATAGATAAACTTAACTTATTTCACCCTTTTTTATTCAGTTACATGCATACACAATCCTACATACAAAATGTGCAAAAAAGTAAAAGAATAACTATCATAAGGTCATAAACATAAAGGGGAATAAACATTTCTTTGTGTGTGAGAGCGAGAGACAGTGTGTTGCAGGCCGGCTGGTTGCTATAGCGACACTTAACAGGGCAGTAATGTGTGAAGCAGTCAGCGTCTATGCAAATGGTGCTGCTGGTGGCTTTGTTAAACTTTGATTTAGCTTTTCCTTAATAGTTTTAGCTGCATATTTTCATCTAGATAGTATTTTATTAATTTAATTTGTTAGGTGGAAAATTCCATTAGTTGTTTACTGTTTATCCTTAATTAGGTAGATTTTTTTCTTGTTTGTGAGCCAATTTCATGTTTTTGTGGGATGATATTGGAGTATTTTTGTCACTGTAGAAGCAAACCCTATTATTCACATATGTTTTTCTATTCATGATACAAAAATTCATCCAACAAATTTATTTTTATTTTTATTTTTTTCGAACCTAACCCATAGATATCTTGAGGGATAGTACCTAGACAGTGATTTTAAAGTATAGTATCTAGATTTGGGATAGAGCAGTAAGGATGAATCAAATAGAAAGCTATGATGTTTGGAGAGAAACAATTAAAGGAACACTAACAATTTGTGTACAGTGTATATATTAGGCTCAAAGACCGAAAAATGACCACAACTCATTGTGGTTGTTTGGACAATAACTAAAAAGTGAAATTTCACTCTAGGTTAGGTTAAAATAGATTTATTTTGGTTAGTTTGGGTTGGGTTAGATTAGGTTTGGTTTGATTAGCTTAGGTTAGGTTACATTTGGTTGAGGTAAAACCTAAGTCACAAAATTTTGCTTCTGGTTATTTTGAAAATTTCCACAATTACTTGTAGCCTTTTTTTTTTGTCTCTTTCAGAGCTGAGTTACATCAGTTTTCAAACTTCTTTTGACAGTTACATTGTTTTTTAAGATATAAGATAAGACTAGAATTTTGTATTTTATTGTAACTAGAAATATTCTTAGCAAATTATATAAGGCAGACAGAGGGAATACCATGTGAAGAAGGGTTAGGTACCAAGGTTGGTGCAAAGTTAGGTAAAATTTTGTCCAAAATAAGAAATGTTGTGTACAAAGATGAAGTATTAAATGGAGGGTAGAGAATATAGCAAGGGAAATCAGTGTTTTCCAAGACAAGAAATAAGAGTCTGTAGAGATGGAAAATTTTGTGAATGTTTAAAATGTTAATTCAAGGGAGAGAGGACTCGCTATTTTTTATTTTTTGTTCAATCTGTTTTAAGACTAGTAATCTTGAATAATTTTTTTGTGAAGTGTACACAACTGAAAATAAATATTTCTTTAGAAAGATTGATTAACAACATTTTCTATTTTTTTTCCATGATTTTTGTGTTATTAGTACAGGTAATTACTTTTGAAAAGAAATTTGGTAGCAAGGTGATAAAAGTTTACAGTTTTATTTATATTTTTCACGTTTTAGCTTTTTACATTGGGTTTAGCATATGTTTGTATTATAACATATGGTGGAAGCAGTTGAAGATATTGATACCACAGTATGCTGTATACTCTGATAGGACCATTCACATTTGTTTTGTTGGTATAGTCATGAAGAATGTGAATTGATAATTTTTAGCTTATTGCAAGTTGTTTGTATGACTACAGTCCTTGATATTTTGGGACTAGAGAAGTTTGTCATAGAGTTTTATAAGGTACTGTAATTATCAATCATGATTTAAGTGATATAAGATGAATTTATTGTACTGGTATCATTTTGACATTTTATATACAGTACTACAGTATACCAACTTTAAGGTTGCCCCTAGTTTTAATATGTTGTATCAGTAAGCTGCTTTGTACCCCTTATTTATTGTATATAATCTGGGCCTCAAATTTCAGGAATATCGTGACAGTGGCCAAAGGCATGAACCCCCTTCCTTTATAGCTCAGTTTTGGTTGAACCTGTACCGACACAGATTAGCTACCATGATGCAAAGTGGGAAACAATTTCAGCTCAGATTTAGACACTTTGTTTGTTGAAATTAGTAATGGCAACAGTATTATTAAATTGGTGCTGTAACGTGGCTGTGAATAAAAGTTCTTCTAAAAACTACTTGACCTGTACAGTATTGGCTGAAGATTAAGATCATTAAGATTTTCATAAAATATCTTTTCTCTTGCCA